GTTTCACTGTCTGTAAGGTTTTCTTTAAAAATCAGTAAATCGGTTGAAAGCCTCCTTGAATAATCACAGGATTAGTATTGAAAATAACAAAACCATTTTGCGCTTCCTTAAGAAAGCAAATCAAAAATATTCTCTTTCGATACTGATTTTCTCGATAAGTTTTATCAACGGTTTACAAATTCTCTCTATAATCAAAGTTCGTTCTTGTGGCGACTCCATCCGCCATTTTTCTATATTCGACTTAGAATCCCTTACTAACGAGTATGGATTTTTAAACTGCTTTCTCGAATCCATTTTACTTGGACTTGTCCTGTTTTCGATCCAATTTAATGTCTTCTCTGATAACTTTAATCCCGCGAACTTGAAGACTTCTCTCGCCGATTCAACCGGCCGGGTAGCTAGATCCTTGTAGAAGATAAGTTTATATCTCTGTTGAAGAGATTCGTTAAGTTGTAAACCAAACTCGATGTTTTGGATAATTTCGTCACAGTAAGTTTGAACTTTTTTCTGAAATTGTGGATGTTCGTAGTCTGGCATCCATTTAAGTTTAATCCTCGAGTTAATACTTCCTCTAGGATCACGCACTACGTGCAGTAGTCTGATATCTGTACCTATTGTGCGGTCAATAATTTCCGGTATTAGACTTGACAGACTGGTGTTTGGTAACCGATCAGTAAGCTCCTTAACTACAGTGCTCTCATAGCTGTATCTGCATTTATCAAGAAATTTTATGAACAATTGCTCCGCACGGAAACAGCGTGTGGTTCCACCTCTGTATTTTAAGCACGCCAGGTCTTGACTCGGTGTAACAAAGTAATACTTCTGTTTCAAGTGCCAGAAAGGTGGAAAGTAGTCTTTTCGCCAAAGGGGGCTTGAAGCGAAGTTGCAGGAGAGGAAGGCTTTCAGGACTTCTATCTTTTCAACGTTTGTGAGTTTGCGATGTCGTAAAGGCTCATAGACTTCGAAAATCTGTCAATGAAGATCAAAACGTTCGCCAGTTACAGCCGGCTTTCAGTCAATGAGTCATTCATCCCTTAGGGGGTGGGGGGGGGGCGGCGTACTTCCCAGTGATAGGCCAACGGGAATGTACCGCTGGACGCTGGATGCTGAATGGGGTTGCATTTTCACGTCTGGATTGACAATGACGGGGTTGCAATTTCAATAGAGTTACTAGAATGAGGTCGCACATTTTCGGAGTTTTGGGAATGAGAAAATTAAAGGGTAGATGCATAAACAGAAAGTTCGGATCGCAGATTTCAATTACCTTTAAGTGACCGAGATTTGGTCTACGATGGCTTCAGGATACTCCATAGTGTAGGGATTCTAAGAGGCCACGGGGGGGGGGGGGCTTATTTATTTCAGGTACTTGGGGGGTGGTTTATTAGAGGGGGGGGGCTTATTAGCCCGATGTTTACTTCCAGGGTACAATAGGATATGATGTACAGTAATTGAACAAATTTATCGTACTTACTGACATGGAGTGTTACTTCGAAATTTTTTTTTTGAGGTGGAGGTGTGGGGTGGGGCTTATTAGAGGGGGGGAGCAAAATAGAGGATGTGCGGTATGTTTTAGTACAATAACTATGGAAATTATCGTGCGCTCATTGGTCGAAGAGTCGTTGTCAATAAGCTTCTGGGCGATAAAAATGACGTATCGTGTAACGCAACGCTCAGCAATCTTCGCCATGACGGAAAGAAATATTTACCCCGTAAAAAACAATTCCACATTTCTGAAATATGAACAGTGGCGAGTATCCGAATCTTAGGATCAGCATACTTGGAGAAATTTTTGAAGAAGAACGTGTCGAAGTGGAAAAAAGGTGAATAAAAAGTCTTCAGTAAAAGAAAGCCAGTTCTCAGTGAAACCACGAGGCTGCGCCTCGTGGTTTCACTTTGGTTTTGAACATTGTTGACGTCATTTTTATGATTAATAAGGTAGTAAGCCAATGGAAACTTGTGGTCACTTTGTAAAGTAATGGTCCCTATCGAACCGAGTCCGGATTTATCGAAGACGCGCGAAAGATCCCATGGAAGCGACCTCTGTACCGTCTTCTCTCGCATGCTTTTGAGCATTATTTTGGTGTGGTTCATTTTTGATAGAGGGAATACATAAGTCTGAATATCTCAACTTTTGGCCAAAATGTCGCCATCACCGATATTTAATTACGAAAACGAGGGGAGAGAAGGAACAACACCTTTGAGCCAGTTCCCAGCTTTCTCCTCCGCTTTCCAACCACGGGGTAATTTTGAAGCAAACCGGATTAAATAAGTGTGTTTGTTTGTTTAATTCTCCGCGGGAAGAGCTAATTTGAAGCCCTGCTAAAGCTAATTTTTGTCATATTTAGGTCGGCGTTTTGACAACAAAATATACCAGACAAATACTTTATAAGATAATCTCGAATTGTGTAATACATCCATTTAGGACCTTGCGAAATTCACGAACAACAAATGGTCTTAAAATGATAAGATTGGTGTGTGACCAATCAAGGGAATATTTTCATGTTAACATTAATTTTGTTTACTCACCCTTTCTCCGCTAGCAAACATCCTCGACAGGAAACTCGTGCCCGATCGACCTTGTCCTATGATTAACAAACCCTTTCGTTGTCGCTGATAACTTGTAGAGAGAACATTGTTGGACACCCAGTTTTTTGAGAGAAAATCTCTTGACGATGGTACACGCTCATTTAAAAAAGAAAACGAAACAACTAGAACCGTCACCAGGCTGCCGATGGCGAAGTAATGGCGTAAACCAAGTTGCTTTCGCATGTTGTTAAGTCAGTTGTCGATCAGTACTGTTGTTATTCATCATCGGTGCGACCTTTTGCTCTCTATTTATATTATATTCAAAACCTGACTTCTGTTGACTGCTTAAAATCTCGTTTTCTTGTCCTCGCTAATCAAACTGTTGACAAATAATCCTGATTAAAATCGTTAATAACCTCTAATCAGACTGCCTGGCGGAAGTGGAGCGCGCGTCGATAAAGATTAAAGTCGAGAGTCACATGTGCTTGCTGGAAAACGTTGTCAACGGAAAGAACCACATTTGAACCGTAAATCCTGTTTTCAGTCGGAAGAAAATCAAGTTCATTTTTATTTAGTCCGTCATAAACTTTATTTACTTTCTAGTGAAAAGCAAACTTTAAAAGTAATTGCCTTGACTCTTATCAAAAAAATCACTTAATCAGACCATTCTAGTAATACCAGAAGGTAACTTCGATATAATAAAGCACTGTGCAGTTCAGCCATAAACACGAGCCTTAAAGCCCTAAATTGAATTCTGTTTTACAAAACTGAGAGATTCTGTTACAAGATAACGTAGTTGTCACGACAACTTTTGCGACATGGATTTTAATCCTACGGGCAATTACATGTATTCCTTGTTATTTCCACTAGGCCTGAACAAATAAAGGCGATGTTTTAATAACTGAACTCAAAAGTATCTACTTAAATAACTCATTATTGCTCGAGTACTAATTCTTTGGAGGATCCTAGTTTCCACAAATTTATGATTACATCCTTGAAAATGGTATCAAAAAATGCAGAATTATTTTTCCACCAGTTTTGATCGACTGTAACCCCCAAACCGTTTCATTTCTCGTTGAAATGTGGTCAACATATCAAGATTCCCCTTCCTAGAAACTTTTAGGAAAACCTATTTTTTAAGTTCAACGCCACCTAAATATTTCATAGATTAAAGTGGCTCTGAATTATACACAGATTTTCAAGAAGCTTTGGAGTTCAACGGTGAAGCGTGAGGCAAACTGAACTATACTGAAATGCTTTTTGAGATGCAAGCACACAAAGCGAAAATAAAGGGGGTTTTTAAGAGGCTGTATTGTTGCTGTGGTAACTTCAAAAGTCAAAGATTTGATCACAACTTGTTAATAATTAGGAATTTTTCAAAAACTGTGCTAGTCTTCAGGAAAAAAGCCCTCTCTAACTATTCCTAACGAGACCAACCAACAGCTGCGAATGACAGGGAATAGATCATAAATTCATACATCTGAAAAATCTGATGAAAAGAAGGGGTTTGCACGTGGAAAAGGAAACCATAAAGCCAGACTGGGTTAAACGAAAAACTATCATGAAGACATGATGAGTGGACGAAAACAAGAATGAATCACATTGACTTGAATCTGGTTCATGATAAAAATTGTTGGGAGAAAGAAATCCAAAATTGATGAACGCATGCCTCTTTCAGTTACTTGTTACCGTGGCATACTCCTGCGGAACGCTTTAATAAATGATTAATAAATGATTAATAAATGATTAGCAGAAGTTGACTGGAGGTCTGAGATAAAAGACGTTGCTTGTTTTACGGATGAGTTGACGAGATAATTAAATAGGTACTACAGACGAATAAAAATTGTATTTGTTTTTGTGTGTCGCCCATCCACCTGCCATCAGTCACGATGGTGACACTGATTTGTGCAAGGCTCTTGACAAAAAAATCTGCGGTCTCTTTCTCTCTCTCTCTCTTCCTCTCTCCCGCTCTGTTCCTCTTTTCTACTCTACGACAAAAAATTTGCATCATCAAACTGCTTTGTGAATTGGGTATAAGGGCGTACTGTGAAAGAAAGAAAAAGGGTTTTTTTAAGGCGACTTCCATATAAACGAGGCAATAATAAAAAAAAAATGACGAAATCAGAGTTAAAAGAGGAAAAAAACATGTACAATTGATAAATGGCGGATTCAACAAAAGCCAAAAGCGATCTTTAATTAAAAAAAGAAAACACAGGATCCAAAGGGCAAATAGGGTTAGAATGCCTCTAGGCCAGGAGCACGTGGCGACCACCTTGCTCTCGTGACTTTACCCTTTATTCCCAGAGACAATAGTCCTTTTTACAGTTGTAGGCTTGGTGGCCAAGCCTTTGAACAGGTGTGAGGCTAAGGGTGACCCTGTTGTGATAGAGACCTGTATCTAGTTAGCATGATAACAAAGAAATTTGCATTTGAAAAGCAGCAACATCTCTATCATAACAAGGTCACCCTTAGCCTCACTCCTGTTCAAAGGCCTGGCTACCAAGCCCACAACTGTAAAAAGGACTATTAAAACTGACTCGGTCCTTTCTCTCCAATGCAACGACCAGAGCCTAGTTGTTCAAAGGACGGATAACGCTACCCAACGAATACATTCACCCTAGTCTATCACCTGAGCAGGTAAGTTCAATAAAACGTACTGCACTATCCACCAGATAGAGATCTCTCAAGTGAATAGCCTTATGTATTTATTTATTTGTTTGCAAGAATTGCCGACAGGCAGGGACCCACAACAGCTTTGCGCCAATCACTGAGGGCCCAGTAACCCACCCACCCCACCCCAGGGGAGGACATCCATCACACAGTAATCTCGTGCGTAATTTCAGTAATCTCAACCTTTGAACAACTAGATCCTGATGGCTGATTCTCCTTGCTGACTATCAAATGATTTTTTAACTGACAAAGTTGTGTTACATCCAAACAATGTCCTCTAGTTGACGAATTTCTGACTGCTATACATTTCTTTGAAGAATAACTAAGATAATTTGTTGTAACATCAAGAACACATCTTCCAACTGATACGTTTATATATTCTCGTTACCATTTTAATAGATAATGCAGTGAAATTTTTAAGGAGAAGTTACATATTCATCAAGTCTAAAATCAAAGCTCATCCCAGCGTGGTTTACTCTGTATAGATGGTAGACAGACGGAAATCATAAAACTGATCGTGAACCGGTGGCTTTTTTTCGCCCACTAAATCTTTACATTTGGTTTCAATTCGCTAAACCACACGAACAAACCTCGCTAGAGTTTCTTAATAGTCTAAGGCATCCCGTATCTCATCAGACCTGAAAAGGCAACTAAAAACTACTGGTAACAAAGAAACGTATTCCCTATTGTAACAACTAATCTTTTCTTTTGGTTGTTTCTGTTTTATTTTCTTAATTGGAAACTGTGAGAAAAAAAAGTCAGATTGAATAAGATTTTCTTGATGTGCCTCCCGGTAGACAAAACTGAGCTCGAACGGTTGTCACCCATGCAATCCACTCGATCACTTTGCTACACTTCCAGTTTAGTTGCTAAATAAATAATAATTAATAATTATTAATAATAAATAATTAATTATTAATAATTATTATTTAATTAATTAATCCACTCGATCACTTTGCTACACTTCCAGTTTAGTTGCTGCAAACCAAATCGATATTTTTTCTTTATTATGAGATTAACATGCATGTTAACAGACTGCTCTTTACTGTAACATGCCGAAACACATGTCAACACAGTCACAGGTAAGCCCTCTCTGTCGTTGGTTTTGCCAATTCTAGTTAACGGTGCAATTGTTGAAAAAAAAACAAAAAAAAAACAAAAAAAAACACTCCTCCGGTAACCAGCGAGCCTTGTTAAGAATACACAATTCCTGTTTCTCAAAATGAAGTTTCCTCCGTCCTGCCCATTTTGGATAAGTATTTTACAGGGTCGGAGTTTATCTCGGATAAGTTCAGGCAAATAAGCATAACACATTTTCGAAAACTCGATATCGGTTCCAAACCTCTTGGACTTATTAAGTCTTGCCAATCCTTCATTCTTCAAAAAAAAAAAAACAACTGTCAGACTTCCCTGAGTCCATAACACGAAAAGAATGTAAACTCCCTTAAGTGATTAACATGTATCTTCTCCCTGCAACATCTATGAATAATCCAGCAAACAGGTGATGAGAATACTCAAACGTAACAGGTGGAAGTTGTTATCTTGATCTAACACCGAATTCTCGTTACTAATTTACCAGGAGATAGTAAAAGGGGAGAACTAACAATCAGATCTTGGGAGTTCAAATGTTAACTGTAAAGTTATAACAAATAGTTCTGAGTTTACACGCAAATTGGAGTGTTTCCGCCAGGGAAATGACATCATCGGTCTCAAGACTTCAAGCTTTTGTTCATTATTTGACCAACCCATCCTCCTTACTTCCTGAAAATTTATACGTCGATTATTTTAATTAAATTTCGCGGTCACTAGATTAAGAAAAGGAACAAAGACTTTTGTATTTAATGATAACGACAACTCTTTTGTACCACAGCGGTCCCAGTTCTTTCTAAACAGTCAACCTAAATCGTTCTTATTTTTTAATTCGGATCAGTGAACTAACATCTGTTCTAAAAAGTCTACCTCTAAAAATTCCATGACAGAGGATTAAGACTTAAACAAACAAAATTATATGGTCGTGATTGGATACAATCCTTATAAACTAGTCACAAACATTGCATACTTCACGTGGTTTAGAAGCAGGTACACAAATGACAGATATCAAAAAGTGATAGCAGTTCAGCAAGGTCGAAAAGAAAAATTGTTGCTGTGTATTTAGGTATTGCAATCGATTGTTTACTGAGCAATTAAGAGACAGACATTTCTATAAAACACCAGTGGGGCCCGTTTCTCGAAAGTCCCGCTAACTTAACGGGCCCGTAAAGCTTTTCTGTTTTCATTCAAGATGGAAATTTCAAAAGTTTTGAAAATGATACAATAAAACTATCAGCTAAAGAAACAAAAAAGGACTGGTTTGGATGTCATAACCTGCTTTCCCATCTTTTAAATTTTTATTTTAAAAGATGGCTTCGGGCCCGTTAAGTTGTTACCGGGACTTTCGAGAAACGGGCCCCAGGAAGGATTGGAAAGATTACTGGTTTAGATCTAAGCCCAGCTGTTGTGAAAATAATGATACTCGGTTTTAATTAAAAACAGTCAAGCACAAAATTGCTAATTAAAAGAATATACACAATGAAGAATTTACACCGAAAGACACTGATTAACTGCCTAGATTGTTGTCAGGTGTTGTCCTTGATGGTAAATCTCGCTCAGTGTCCGTAAAATCACACAAACGTCCTTACAAAAGCACACCGCTCGATTTTGCAAAAGAGTTGCGTGCAGTAAATACAACGGCAAACGGAAAAACGCAACAGGGGTTGATGAATGGTCACTTGGGTCACAAAAACCTGCGCTTCCGTTTTATAAAGGCTCACTTCCAAAGAGCAGTTGACAAGCTCTAAACGAATCAGTTGATTCTTCCTGTGTCAGGGAAAAGAGTTCGGTCCTTGCACGCGTTCTAAAACAGTCAAAAGTATCTCAAAAGAACGATTCAAGTACTGTAACTGAGATTTTCTTCTGGTTCACAGTAAGTTTATGTATGTTTTATTTATCTTTTTCATTGATGGTTATTCCCATGACAAGAAAAACCAACAACGCTATCTTCAAAACGTAATTCTCAGGATAAGACACCTTGAGAGAGTTAATATATTATCATTTCGTTTCCTGTCGGCTATTCTGTTGATTTGAGATTACCTTACTTAAATGAAATTCTCGCAACACCATCGATGTTTACAATAACTCAAACTACCAATGAAGTAATGGGAGTTTAATAGAAAATCAACCGTCATTTGATACATTTTGTAAACGGATTCCCTCCTCATTCCATGAAAGAAAGGAGAAGTTCTCTGAAAGGCGCTCGTGAGAGTTACACTATAACTCAGACAGAGTACAAAACAATATATGTCACGAACAGGATGAGAGCGACACTTGTCTATCATCAAACAACTTGTCTATCATCAAACAAATTCTATAACCTGGGTTATTTTCACGTTATTGCTGAGTCAGATGTTAGCAGTACATAAAGACAGTAAAATGAGTTTTTCACCGATGCCAGTGTAGTGGCATTGTTTTTGGAAGACGAGCGTACAGGCATGACGCGCGCACATGCGCATTTTTTAAATTTGATTCCTCGCGACCAAGTGACCATCACGCGCTCGAGTAGCAGTTCTGTTGGAGTGTCGTCTTTTAAGGATTCGAGTTGCACGTTAGTCACCGTTTTACTTTTATTTGGTGGTGCTTTAGACGATAATTTTGCGAACAGTTTTTATGTAGGAACCGCTTTCGAACCGATACGTTGGCCAGAACTAATATCCACGACCTGCCTTACACCGGTTTCTCAAAAGAGAAAAATCCCGATTTAATTTTTCAAATTTGTCTTTAGAATTCTCTATAAGACCTTTCCAATTTTTTTTTTCGTGTTGTGCTTATCTCAGTGGTAACTATCCACCCTCACAATCTGTTACTACGATCCGAGATTCCCGGGAATTTCCAATGTCACAACTTACCGACCCGAAGTAATGACGTCAATGAGCTGCTTTCATTGTCTTCCACAGAATGTCGGCCTCTTCTTGTTGATATTACACCTTAAGTTTTTCTCTATCTACTCAGAAAATTATTTATAACCAAGTGATTTGTATATTAACAAAATTACCTCGCATATTTGAAAGAAAAAGTGCCTCAAGGACAAATTAAGTTATTTAAGATCAACATCGACGATATACTTTAACACAACTAATACTTGAATAAAAACAATATCAATTTGTTGTATCTATGTATTAAACTTCAATAACAACACAATATTTACACCACTTGGTCTATATCAAATATTTCAAATATTCACACTGACTCATTTTAGCACGATAACCAATTATTACCAAATAAAATACATGAGTCTTATTTCGTTATAATATATTGCTAAAGAGCAATAAATAGTCGAAT